AAAGAAAGAAAGAAAGAAAGAAAGAAAGAAAGAAAGAAAGAAAGAAATGAGCAATACCACTTTCAATCAGAGGGGGGCAGTAAAGCGCTAAACTCGGCCTAAACTTTATATCCAAAAGGAGGAAGAAAGAAAAGCAGTACTCGATATTTTATAAAACCAAGCTGGGAGAAGGAGAAGAACAAGACAAGAAGACAAGACAAGAAGCTTTGTATGGATAATAGACCAGAAAACAAAAGAAATGCAAATAGACAACTTAGACATCAGTCCAGTAGTACCAATACCACCCTGGATTCTTCCAAGTGCAACAGTTGACTTGACACTCATGGACAAGAAAAAGGACAGAAGATTTATTTTAACTCATACAGGACCACATCAGTAACTACTATAACTATATACAGATTTATACAGATGCATCAAAAACATCAGAGAGAGTAGGAGTGGCCTATATAATACCAGAATTCAACATAGAAGTAATAAGAATAATCAGAAATGACGTATCAGTATACACCGGGGAGATGTTGGCAGTATAATTGCAGTGCAATGGAAGACACAAGGCCATTAAAAACAATCATCTGTTCAGACATTCTATTAGAAATACAACAAACATTTTTCAGAATGCAAATGATGGGACTGACAGTAATTATTTTATGGGCACCAGCACATACAGGGATCAGAGGGAAGGAAGCAGCAGACAGGGCAGCAAAAGCAGCAACAAAAGATCAAGTCATCTTTACAATATCCATCAGTAAATCAGAAGTAAGAACCAAAAACTAAAGGGACAATGGCAAAAAACAATGGGAGGAAGAGCACAGAGGAAGATGGTACAGAGACAAGTTGGAGAAATGAGAACAGGAGGGGGGAACAGAAAGAGAAGAAAGAGTAATAACCAGATTAAGATTTGGGCATACCGGACTTAACCGCACATTATATAAGATTCATAAACACGATACAGGTCAATGTGAGCATTGTGGACAGGAGGAAACAATAGAGCATGTCATTTTGGTCTGTTAGAAATATGAACATCGCAGAAGACGGAACAATTAGAGTCAGAGTTTTTTATTGTCATTCGCACCTCATGTGGTACATGCGGTGGAGCGAAATTATGTACACAGGGTCCCAGTTACATCCAACAATAAAATGCAAAAGAAAAACAATGATAACATCCAAGATATGAACCAAGAAAAACATCAACCAAATATACACTAAGCACTCATAACATAAAAACATTACATCGAACATCAGCACAAACATGATTAGGAATTATTTATTAGGAAAAATCAAAGAAACATTTACTATAATAAATATATTACAAAAGGAAACGAGAAGTAAAAGTATTCAAATTATTACATATTTTTTTAGAAACACAAAATAAGAAAAGAGAACATATATCATAAACATGATTGCAGACATACAGTTTAGCTGATTTGATCCACACTTCGCACCAGTAGGTGGCGGTAATGAGCATCTTCCGTTGTTTGCCAACCGCCATTAAAAAAAATCACAATTAAGAAGAAGAAGAAGAAGAAGAAGAAGAAGAAGAAGACTCAACAATATGGGTGCTGTAACAGATGGTGAGTAACTAAACGATTTAATCATTTCAGCTAGTGTATTAGAGCAAAGTTTGTCCAAGCTTTCGGAACATTAGTACATATCGTTTTTTTCCTAAAAAAGTATTATTTACTTCAGATGCCGTCTTTTCTGAGCACAACTGTGCCCTCGTTAGCTAGCAGCTTAGCTAGCCGTGGAAGTGTCATTCAGGGTTTTCAACGTGTTTAAGGTGTTTCTGTCGCTCACACTGTAGATGAAGTTATACGAAAACGTCTTCTTATCGACGGTGACGGAGCTGGAGATGACCGCAGGATCAATTTACTGCTGAAAAGTTTCACCAAATGGTGCAACTCGCCTGCTGGGACGCCAGAGGAAGGGTAAATGAATGCATTTCTGTTGTGAAGCATCTGTTCGTTGTGATGAAACATGTATTGAAGTGCTGGATCTCAGTGAGACTAACCCGTATAAATAAAGGTTGAATGAACTTGTTTCTAGGTTCACTCAGTACCAGAGGATGCTGGGGACTCTGGCTCAGTGCGAGTTCTCCATGGGGAAGACTCTGACGGTTTACGACATGAATCTTCGCGAAATGGAAAATTATGAGAAGATATACTCTAACATAGGTAAAAACTGGATATAAAATATTTAAGGATTGTAGTTATGATTTTCATTAGTATTTGATGTTTTGTTTTGTTTCCCCCCCTACATTGCAGAACACAACATCAAGTCTGCACATGAGAAGATCACAGAATGCAAAAAAGAAATTCAGAGGGCAAAGAGAATACGAAAAAATCGCCAGGGTTGGTCTGTTTGTTACATTTTTAGGATGGGATATTTACTACAAGATTTCCTTGGTTTCATTTTAAATGATTTATCGGTAGTTTGTCAAGAATACGTAAAACATTTTGCATCATGTACTGATTCCTCCTATTCCTTTCCAGAATATGATGCTTTAGCTAAAGTGATCCAGAAGCATCCTGACCGACATGAAACACTCAAGTAAGTCAGCCTTGGTCTGTCGTAACATCTAAAGTTCATCTTTGGATTTTTTCTGATACACGTGTGCTCGTCTTTCTTTTGCCTACAGGCAGTTGGGGGCACTTGACAAAGAACTTCAACATCTTTCTCACATCAAAGAGAATGTGGATGCAAAGGTAAAACCAATATTCGATTGAAATATCAATTAAATTTCTTTGTCATCTTTGTTTTGCTGATACCATTTTTTTCATTCTGCTCAGTTGGAATTAAGGAAGAAGCAGTTCCATGTTCTTCTTACGACCATTCAGGAGCTACAGCAGACGCTAGAGAGTAAGTATTCTTCCTCAGTGGCGGTCAAGTTCTACAGAAAATGACAACTTGCTAATCGTATCATTGCTCTCTTTTCTAGATGATGAGAAGTTGGACAGTGATGACCACAGTCAGGAGAGTCCCATGGAGAGCAATGAATGAACCTGGAAAGGGCTTGACTGAAACAGATGGAGCTTCTAAAATGATATCAAGTTAAATAATTTCCTTTTTGTATGTATTTTTGAATAAAGTTGACCTCTTCAAGTATACCTGTCCTTGTAACTCATTTATTATAGTCTCCTAACCTATTTTTATATAAATAAATGATCGTTAACCCAAGTTGTCAAGCTGATAGAGATTCAGTAACAAGCTCACTGCATTTCGAACAGATCAGAGCAGAAGGAAATAATATTTAGCAAACACTGGTTTACATATATATATATATTCTGTGTTTTATTAGTCATTTTCTGCACTTATGAGTGATAAAAGAGGATATGTTTATGTTCGCTTCATTATTAAGAATACCATTTTACAAACTGGATTCCAAAAACGTTGGGCCACTAAACAAATTGTGAATAAAAACAATGTAATGATGTGAAGATGGCAAATGTCAATATTTTATTCGTAATATAGATGAAAGATCAAATGTTTAATCTGAGTAAATGTAACATTTTAAAGGAAAAATATTTTGATTCAAAATTTCACAGTGTCAACAAATGCCAAAAAAGTTGGGACAAGTAGCAATAAGTGGCTGGAAAAAGCATATAACGAACAGCTGGAAGACCAGTTAACACTAATTAGGTCAATTGACAACATGATTGGGTATAAAAAGAGCTTCTCAGAGTGTCAGTGTCTCTCAGAAGCCAAGATGGTAAGATGATCACCAATTCCACGATGGTGGAATTGGTGGCATCTGCCGTTGCCAGCTGAAACTCTACAGTGCAAAGAGGAAGCCATTTCTAAACAAGCTCAGACGTTTGCACTGGGCCAGGGGTCATTTAAAATGGAGTGTGGCAAAATGGAAGAATGTTCTGTGGTCAGATGAGTCACGATTTGAAGTTCTTTATGGAACACTGGGATGCCATGTCATCCAGACCAGAGAGGACAAGGATAGCCCAAGTTGTTATCAACGCTCTGTTCAGAAGCCTGCATCACTGATGGTATGGGGTTGCATGAGCGCTTGTGGCATGGGCAGCTTGCATGTCTGGAAAGGCACCATTAATGCAGAGAACTATGTTCAGGTTCTAGAACAACATATGCTCCCATCTAGACGTCATCTCTTTCAGGGAAGACCCTGCATTTTTTGACACGATAATGCCAGACCACATTCTGCAGCAATCACAACATCATGGCTACGTAGGAGAAGGATCCGGGTACTGAAATGGCCAGCCTGCAGTCCAGATCTTTCACCTATAGAGAACATTTGGTGCATCATAAAGAGGAAGGTGCGACAAAGAAGGCCCAAGACGATTGAACAGTTAGAGGCCTGTATTAGACATGAATGGGAGAGCATTCCTATTTCTAAACTTGAGAAACTGGTCTCCTCTGTCCCCAGACGTCTGTTGAGTGTT